TGCGTGACGTGGAGAAAAGACACTACCCCGCATCCTATTGGCCAGACTGAAGTGAATGACATAACAGCTGCACTAACGTGATTGCATAACTCGTTTTCTGGCACAAATGTCTTAAATGCCTCTCAGATCAAGAGGAGGACAAATGCAAAGCATTGATCAACATAGATGCAATACAAAGCTTGATGGAGACAATGGAGTAAATGCACGTGCAACTGTGTGCATGGTTTATAACTGTGACTCATAGGCAGGTCAAACATCTCCACAGAGAGCATGTTGACTGTGCAGACGTGCCCCATAAAACCACAATTTATCACCGAAGGGTTTACAGAGGTGAGGGGCAGGGGCACTGACCCACTGCCTGAAACATCCTCGGTGTTGCAGCTCACAGTTGCCGTTATCCCCCGCTCACTGAAAGACAGGCCTCACCACTGAGGCCACGTTTCCACCCACCACACGGCCCCCATTCCTCCCCAGGTTCTTCTGTAACAGAACCAGACAGCTGCAGTAATTGCAAACACATGCAGCCAAAAAAGTGCAAAGTCATTCTGGTCTGCACATGCTCATTATGGAACGGTCCAATGGTGGCGAGGTGGTTTGTGGAAGAACCCAGTAACTCCAACTTTAAACTATTGCACTCACAACAGCTCCCACAAACACACAAAAACCGCTTTCAAAAGTTTTTTTTGTTCAGCTTTAATATCATCAAGCGGGCGAGTCAGCAAGTTCAGTGTTTTTCCACAAAAGCACACATCTTCATCTCAACTCCAGAGCTGAGATGAAAACGTGTGAAGACGGCAAAGGAAATATCACAGACGATGCCGTGTGCAGCATGCATATACTAAATGCCTCTTAAATGACTGATCGATCGATTGTTTTCGTTTGCACTCATTAGACAGACCAACTCATTGTAAAGTGCAAAAGTCAAAACAGCTCAGATGTAACAAAGTCTTTTGGGAATAAATCCGAACAAGACCCAAACTGAGACAAAGTTCAGATGATCGGAAACTCCTCAAAACAACCCCCACGAACTAAAAGATGCTAAAGCATCATAGTTACTGTCAACTGTCAACACTCCTCCCTCTTCTTTTTTAAGCTGTTTGGTGACATTTAGCAGAGACATGCCTGGAGAATAAAGGTGAGGCAACAAAGAAAGAAAAAAACGAGTGTAAATTCAAATATTTCGGGAACCTTTTATGACAGAGGTAGAACACTCTACATGTACATCTAATTTTTAAAATATAGTTATTATAAATGCATATGATGTGCTTATAGCCTATAAAAAGGAAATAAAGGTGTTCTGGCAGATCAATTTGAATTCTCAGTGGAAAATTACTGCACTGTTGCCTCATCTCCATTTGTTGCGAGCTGACAAACAATCTGATGGCTGCCAGAGAGTGTGTCTGCTTATCTGTGGACATATTTGCACGACCTTCAACTAAACTTTGACCAGTGCAGATTTTCCCAGACTGACATAGATGCAGAATCTTTGTACCACGTATGCTGATGTTATAAGATATGCATGTTAAAATGTGTTGCATCACTGACGGTTTCAAGAAGAGTTGCAGAATAAGAACTTTTCACATTTTATGAGCGGAGATCTAATTTTATTATTTTCAAGTGCGAGAAAATATTTTAGCAAATGTGAGGACAATAAGCTTGTCCTCATAAACGTTACTCTACATTATTATTCTTATTATGAGCAAATGCAATACTGCTGATAATGAGCAGAGAAGGATTTGTAACTGGAAGGTTTATATAACATATTTAGTTCTGAATATAACAATATTTAAGACCCTATTATCCTTCGATGTAGAGTAGACATTGATTTGTTTTAATATGTTGGAAAAGTTTTGCTTTTGAAAAAA